AGTAACACACCATTGTGGAGGAAGTTGGTTTTGTGTCATTGAGTGGATGACAATCACTCTTTCGGATCACGCACTTGATCAAGGAAGTAAAAAAAAATTGGGCTTATCTCCTGCCACTGTCACAGGGAAAACTATGATTCAACAACAGATTGTACAGACAATTTCTTTCATTTTCGGAGGATTCAGAAGCAAAATAGTCCCAAAAAAAGTGAAGAACTTCAGCTTTCAACACGACGATCAATTTGGGGTATTGAGGGCAATGCGAAATTGCCCGGCATTTTTATTCTTACTCCAGATGATATGAGGAGGGGAACGTGGCACTAAAATTGGCAACTCCGTCGTCGTCTACTTGGGAGTTTTGCTGTCTGACTGGCGTGGACAGCGTTAGCTCTTTTATAATTCATGACCGCTAATTCATCACATGACAGCGTGGCCCGAGGTAATCAGCCCTTCCGACACGCTGGAACGTATAATGTGTCGCTAGCCCCGCAGCGCGTGTGCCAAGACGACATGAAGGCGAACAAGTGTTGATAAGACGCGCGCAAATCATATCGAGTTCCAGTGGATGCTGCATCGGTTTACCGGCGCATTGTTGACACGCCGAGTGTAAGGTGGGGTTACGCGACACAGAACACGATGCTGGCAGATCACACGCATTTGTCGGCGCATTGGGAATCTCCCCCGGGAATGTTGTGAACCCGTTTCCATGGGGGGGATTTCAGATGGTGGACGAATTGATTTGACGTCAATGTCGATTTTTTTTTTTTTCCAGTTGAAATTAATTTGTTCATGTGTTTATTGAATTGATTCATTTCCTGTATTTTTTTTTTTTTTCCAATTGAAATTAATTATTGAGCTGTGTGCTCATTTGTTCATGTGTTTATTGAATTGATTCATTTCTTGTGTTATTTTATTTTTATATTTGTTGATAATTTATTTTGAAATATTTTGATTGAAATTCGTAAACCTAACCCTAAACCTTTATTTTGAAATATTTTGATTGAAATTCGTAAACCATCATATTTAATTTTATTTCCTTAAATCTATGTTAATTAATTGTAATGATTGATTCAAAATGAACTATTTCATTTCTTGAGGGTGTTTGGCGCATTTCTTTCCCACTTTGGGGCCTTTGAAATTGGACATATACAGTATGTATGGATTCAAATTTTTAAGAGTCTAACTTTTGACGATTTATTTTGCAGCAGATCGTTGCCCCACTTGATCCAGCTGTATTGAAAGAGAAACCTCAGATCCATTTACGATCTAAAGTTTTTTTTGTGTGTGAGCCCACGGTGCTCTTCATGATTTTGCAGTTTTATTTGTCGGTATTTTGTTCGGATGGAGAGGAGCTTTAGGGCACAAATGGTTATGCACCACAAATTCTACTTGGGCAACACGAGAATGTTAGCTTGCTAAAACAGACTTTTATTATGATTATTATTCAGCAGGAAATGTTCTGAGGCAAAGAATGTGTACATAGACGGCCACAGTGAAGCGTGAATCATGGCAACATGATAGGACAAGCAATTTTCATCTTTGGCTGCCGTTAAAAGAGGTGGTGGCGGGCCTCTTGGTCGACCAGTTGCTAGTCTGCCATGTTTACCTTGTCAAAGTGCCGTCATCTCCGAAGGAATTCCAGGGACTTCCCTACGCCCATATATGGTCACGGAATATTGGTGATGGTGAAATACACCGTCTTTGCTTCTTGTCTTGTCACACACATCCAGTTGTGCATTTTTTTTTTTTTTTACCCTGACTTACTTTGACTATAATTGACACTTTTTTTTTTTTTTACCCTGACTTACTTTGACCATAATTGACATAATTAGCAGGTTTTTCCCGTCATACTCGGCGTGTTGTGCAATGTATCAGCGACAGGGTATATACAACCCTGACGTAGAGTCATAAAGTGTATTAGTTCCCCTAACTGATAAGAAAATTCTGCTCTTAATGTTAATGATTTCTTAAAACCTTGCAGTTTTGACGGTTTATATGTACACTTGGAAATGAATGTCATGGGAGGGAATTGAGTTTTCTTGCGACTTTTGCTTTTGTATTTTGTCCTAAAATCATTTGATAATTTTTTCCTTAATGTGCAAGATTTTTTTTTTTTTTTTTTTTTTTTTTTGTAACTTTGATCTTCTCAATGCTATTGACAGGCTGTAAAATATCTGACGGTGGCTATAAAACCATAACGGCAGTGATTCGGTGCTGCGTCACGTCTGAGTCGCTAAAAGAATTTCCCCGCTTTTTTGGGTTTTTTTTTTTTGTGACAGGAAGTACCTTGGCATAGGATTGTACAATACAGAATGACTTTGCAACAAACCTGATGATGTCCAAAGTCTGGTTAACATCAAAATATCACTCAAAACATTTTCATTTTAGATACAGTATATGCAGTATGTGTGCATATGTACGTATATACAGTATGTATGTGTAATGTATGCATATCTATCTAAGCTAGCTATCTGCATAATCACTTTTATCAGGTCCTTGTCATCTTTTTGCGGCAATCGTATTGAGAACACTGTCATTTATTTTTCCGCTCTCTGGGTGTCTTTTTTTTTTTTTTCCTTGAGCGTGACAAAGCCTCATCGAAGCGGATCGATGCCTCAGCTGTGGCCTTGAAGAAAGGCAAACAGGCAGCGTCATTCCTGAGAACAATCACAGACTGTTCACCGGTTCCGCCCTCAGTCAAGAAAAGGCCAGGCGACCAATAATAGGCCGGGCGGCCAATCGTGATGCTCATCTTCACACCCACTGACACACAAACGCTGATGTGTAAATATTTAATAATTAGGCTTTAAATCCGTAGCATTGTTGTTAATTGGCTAACGATAGCATAGCTTTATTTTACAGATCATGCAATAACATTATGTTTGCAGCAGGAGGTTAACATTTTTGTTGATTATTGATAAAAAATAATAATTATTTTTAAGGATGGTAACTGGGCCTCTTGTCCGTAGATTAGCGTTTTGGTTAGCGAGCTAACAACAAACCGTTACTTCGATTTTTAAAGATGACCACGTAGCTTTATCTGGGGTGAGTGGCTAAGCCTCATGTTGGTAGCATGCCATTAGCATTTTGGAGAATGCATTCGCAACTGCATGCTGCTGTTTTTGCTTTTTCGCTGCCTGCCACATAGCTTTATCCAAGGATAGTAGCTTGGTCCTCACATTAGCAGCGGGATGTTAGCATTTTGGCTAATAAATTAAAAACAGCATACTGTCATTAGAGTCAGTGAGAGCAACACAAATGAACACCTACTCTTGTATGTTAACAAAAAAAAAAAATTATCTACTCAAATGTTAGCTCATTAGCCAAAATGCTAACACACTGATTACCGTCTGTGTCCTCAAACTCACTGAAGGGCGTTAGCCAAAGCCATACTTTGATGGGTCCTCATTAAGAAAAGGTCGCTGTTATGGAGGAATGTGACTATTCCGGTTGTCTTCTTGTGGATATTTTGAAGTTGCCGCTTTGGTCAAAACAGACTAAATATGTCATCACTCCCTTTTTTTTTTCACTGGAAATCTTGACACGGGTTCAGACCTGTAGGAAAAAGTGGTTCGGGTCATGCTAATTTTGGGCAACAAATGCTAACTGGTATCCATGGTGCTGTTCCATGTTGACACGAATCCACGGAAGCATTTTTTCCCCAACAGAAACTCGAGTGCTATTATGTGTCATTTGACAGCAATTAAATGGAAATTAAAAGGGCGATGGGATCCTCCCAGAGTTATTAACGCAAATGCGTTTAGAATGCATTTTCCAGTTTTTTTACATTTTTTATTTTTATTTTTATGCAAAGCAAAGTATCTGGGCAGACAAGAACAGCAAAGTTCAGGCTGTGAGAAAACAAAAAAAAACAAACAATTGTACCGCGTCCCAAACAATAACATTGGGTGGGCTTTTAAGTGGTACTTTTTTTCACTGTCATTATTTTTTTTTTACAATGTATAACTTGTGGTATTGTCAAGAAGAGGACTTGTATTTCTGATCCTTCACTTAATTTGGTTGTTAGCACACAGAAGTAGATCCAGATTCCCGTCTCTTGTCTTCTGTATGTCCCATTGTGTTCAGAGTGAGATATTGAGATATTACATAACTGAAAGATCTTGCATTACAGCGAAGAGCAAAACTTTTCGGAATTTGATGTGAAAATGTCAGTCATGACAAGATGTTTCTCGATACATTCTTACGTTTGGCTGTCACGTCTGACATTAAAATAAGTGTGTTTTTGACATGTAATTAATCAAAGTGAAATACATATTCATAAAATTAACATCACATTCTCCAGTATCGGGACTCCGTGTTGGTGAGTACTCGAGTGTAAGGACTTTTACTCCTGCTTGGTTGGAAAAAGGTAGTATTGGTGCATTTTTTTTCTTTTCTTTTTCTTTTATTCCTTTTTGAAATAAATTAGTGTGTAGCTACTTGAACCATAAAATATTTTAGTTTTTAAAATTCTGAAAATTATTTACTATGTAATTTATTTTGTTTTTATTTATTTTGTTTCTTCACACTTTGTAATCATTTTTAAGTGTTCATAATATTCATCTGTAGTGAAATCATAACAAGTACGAAATTATTGTTTTTATTGTTGTTTGATAGTGTATCACTTTTACATACATGAAATGTACAACTTTAAACTTTATATTAAAAATTTATTTTGAATTAACATTAAAAAAAACTCTTGCTTATCTTGCAAATGAAAACATTCCATATTTTGGATTTATAATCAGAAGTACGAACCGTGCTGTTGTTGTCATCATCTTATTCTACCCTGCAGCAAGAGGGAACTCTTGTGACATTTTTTATGTGTGTGCAGACTCAAAGAATGGGTTCTGAAAAATGAAAATATGTTTTATGAGTGTGTTTCAGACCATCAAATCTGTGCCATTTGGGACACTTCTCTTCCTGCTCACGCTCAGGTGAGTCCCGCCCACCTCCTCGGAGTCGATTGGCCGGCTCGGCTCCTTCTCGCTTCTGATTGGTAGTTTGGCTCAATACTTGAGCTCAGGTAAGCGGTAGCAGGTAAGAACAGCGCGGAAGACTTTGCTGGACTTACTTTGTTGCTTCTTTCAGCTGCGGTAAATATAACTATCCCCCGCCCCACCCCCACCCCCCCAAAAAAACGATATAAATACACATATATGTGTTTTTAAAAGACGAATTTCACCTAAAGGGAACGTTTTGAAATGGCAGCGAGCGTAGGGCCGGTCATGAATGCGCCGCAAGGGAGCGACGAGCGGGTGGTTTTCACGCAGCTAAAGCCGGTGAGGATGTCCGGAGCAGCGGAGGGTGCCGAGGACTCATCCGTGTTTGAGGACGTTAAGCCCGGGGTGAGAGTCTTCGCCGACCCGCCGACGTGAACCGGAGCTCCGGCTCCCCGCTCTGTGTGTTTACTCTCAATCAACTCCGTGTTGTATGCTCGCTCACCTGTGCGGGTTAAAGTCCTGCTTGACACCTGACGGCGTTAAAAAAATATAAGAAGTGCTGACGTGTTGGAATTAAACACACTACGGTGTGAGATGTTGGAACGTTGTGTTAGTCATGTGATCACATGATCGCTAGTTGACTTATGCAAAAAAAAAATGAAAAATTGTTGCCTGTGGAATTTGCAAGGCATGATCTTGACACAAATTTGACAAGCGACTGTGTTTAAGTTGAACGTAGCGTTTGCTATTTGCTACTTAACAGCTCCGGACCGCTGAACCAGGGGCTTCAACTCGCGCCAAAGTTACGCCTGCTGGCGGCGTTGTTGTTGTTGGTGCTGCTGCAAATGCTCTCCTTACTTAACTGCAGCCGGGCGGGAGTAAACTGCAAAGGACGTACGAAACCTGATGTGAAAGATTAAAAATTTTAAAGACACAGATTGCCGGGAAAGGATTTTTTTTTACTAATCGTCGAGACACAAGATGCTCCAAAAGACGATGATGAACTTTGTTATAAAAACACATCACTCTAAGTGCTGTAAAAGATGTCGATGTTAACTGTTGCGAAAATAACTTAAAGTTGACATAAAAGAGACAGATCCAAATTGTAAAAAGAAGTCGAAGGTAATTGTTAAAAGACTCATTTTAATTGCTGTGGAAAAAAAACGCATAATTGCTGTAAAAGACGTCAACGCTGATTGTCATTAAAGATGTTGGTGATGCAAATTATCGGCGTGAATAAGTGTCAAATGCCAGTGATGCTCATTAAAAAAAATAGATGCTAAGTGTCGTAATCGACATTGACACAAATTGTTATTAAAAGACGCAAATTGTGAAAGAGGGTCATGTTAATTGCCATTAAAAAAAAAAAAAGACGTCAACACAAAATATCGTAAAAGACCTCAATACAAAGTGTTGTAGGAGCTAACTGTCGTAAAAGACGTTGATGCTCATTGTTGAAAGATGCTAATAGCCATCAAGCATGCTTATGCTAAATGTTAAGACATCAATGCTAATTATCCATCCATCCATTTTCGGAACTTCTTTATCCTCGCAAAGGTGCGGGATCCCCCCTCCCAGCTGTCTTCGGGCAGTGGGCGGGGTACACCTTCAACCGGTTGCCAGCCAATCACAGGGCACACAGAGACCAACAACCATTCACAGTCACAGTCACGCCAAGGGACAATTTAGAGAAATCAATTAATTTGCACTTTGAGGCCTACCTGCTAACCAGTCGGCCACTGTGCCACCCAATGCTAATTACCATATACACACACATCAAAAGACACCAAGGGGGTCATTTCAAGACATTGACACCAATATTAAAAAAAAAAATTGATGCTGATAGCTGTAAAACACGCTCGTATTAATTGTTGCAATAGAATTCATCTCTATGTGTTGCAAAAAAATTGTTCAGGAGACGTGAAAGAGCAGACACAAATTGCCGTTAAGGTGATGACGCAAGTTGCAGTTGATGACAATAAACTGTCAGAGACATCAATGCTAACCGTTAATGGGTGATAATTGCTTTGAAAGGTAAAGGCAAGCCGTCGCGAAGCAAGTTGATGCTAACTGTCGTAAAAAGACGGCGACGCTAATTGTTCGGACGCCAAGTGCGGTTCGAGACGTTTACACTAATTGTTCTGATGCTGATTGGCTTGAAAGACGTCAAAGGGTGAATTGTTGTAAAGGTCGACGCTAATGATGAAACTATTGGTCCGAGGAAAAAGTACAATTGATGCTGAAAAAAACTAAGTAGAATTAGATTAAATGAAAAAGTTTTTTTTTTTTTTTAATGAAATCAAAATATAGAAAATGACACAAACGTACAAAATTACATTTCATGTCAACAATTCAAATTTAATTCAATTTTAAGATGGATGTTTTGGTTATTTTTTTGATTCGGGCGACTGTACTGTAGAGGCAAACGTATTCATTGGTTTGCGTGAAAGCACATTTAGAAATCATATATGACTAGATATGATGTACATTTGTGGTTAGAATTTCAAAGGTTTTTCAAATTTGCACAGCGGAGTGGATTAAAAGCCCCTGTCAGGCCATTTCTTGAACCGCGTGCCTCATGTTGCCCACCCCTTCAACTATAAATGCTAACCATTAGCCTCCTTGTTTTTTGGGAGGGGGGGGGCTGTCCATATTCCGTCTTCGTTTTCAGACCATTTTTTTGTCGTTTCTTGTCCTTTCTTTGTTGTTTGAAGCGAGCGCCTGTGCCGTGACAGCAGTATGCGGTCCGACCTGTCTGAGCAGGGCCCACATCTCCATAAGCCGCCTCGGGGCACCGCCGTCAAAGGCCCACCGCCATGAGAAAGTCAAGCAGCGGGGGGAGGGAGGAGGGGTTTTTTGAAGTGGGAGGGTCGTACGGATTTACCTGTCACGTGCTCGCTTTTGTTTCACCGCGTCGTCCTTTTATTTGAGTCTCGGAGTGAACTCTGATCTCTTCGGCTCGAGATCCTCCAAGTTTGTTTTTTAAATTCAGTACAGTCCATTTGTCACGTACACTTCATTTGTATTTAACTTTTAAGCAAAGAGCATATGCTTGTCATCTTTTAGGACTGTTTGTTCTCAAACATTTATTCAAGACTGTGACTGCCTGGTGTTAAACGTTACATTTTCCTGATGCACAGGCGTCGTCCCGCCTCTGTTACTACCTCAGAAGATGGAAAAATGCCAGGTCGACGTGGTTCGCCGCATTCCGAAGCCGGCAGCTCCGCGGGTTGACTTCCAACCTCCATTCCGTGTTGGTGCCTGCTGCAAAAGAACGTCAACACCGAAAAAAAAAGAGAGAAAAAGAAAATTGGCTTTTGCAGGAAGCGTGACAGGGGATACAAGCGGTATTACATGCAAATTACAGCTCTGATGCTACCTCAGAAGGCGGAGTCACACTTCAAATCCCTGTTCTATATCGGTGTCATTTAAACACAACAGGGGGGGGGGGGGGGGGGGGAATAAGAGGCGGGAGCATTTTTGGGCTTTTACAGGCCGCGTGGAAGGGGATGGAGGTGGCATCGCACTTCCCATTCAACTTCCAAAGCCAGCAAATTTGCAGGTTGCTTTCAAACTTCCATTCCGTGTTGGTGTCATTTACGGACTTGCAACACCTGAAAAAGGTTAAAAAAAATAAAACAATGAAGGCACTTACTGGAAGGGTGAAAGGGGCTGCAGTCGACTTCCCACCACTTGCAGTCCCTCAGAAAGCAGAATAATCACTCGACAACTTTTTCCTTCTGTTATGTTGTCCACCCACAAAAGGCATACCAAACTACAACCCCACGATTCCATGTCAACGCCAGGTATACAAAACCGCCAAAGTGGGAAAAAAAAAGCCAAATTTCCATCTTTACGAAGCAGTGTGAAAGGGTTTGAGGTGGACAAAGTTGACTTGGCAATCGGGGGTAGAAACAGAGACCCCTTTCCTACCACGTGGTGTATCGAATGTAGTAGTTGCGCGGAAATGTAGTAGGAACGTGCCAGCTTTTAGAGACAGTGTGAAAGGGGTCGAACCACATTGCAGTAGCCTAATGTGGCTTTGATGAAGACGCCCCAATGCTTTGCGTGTCCCGCCAGCCGTAACCGCGGAATGAGTAACCCATATGAAAGCCCTCACCGGATTCTTTAGCCGTGATATCAGCGGCCGTAAGACGACGGGGCCCGTTACACAGTAACCTGACGGTCACGCCTAATGAGCCCTCGCAGATCAATATTCAGATACGGCTCAACTACGTTTGGTGAGTGGGGGTTTATTCGAATTGTGCCGGCCTTCGACTAACCATTTGACCTCCTCGGCAACGTGCACGGAGTATTTGCATGTACGCAAAGCAGCCACGCAGGATTCCCCTGCACACCCTCATCCTTAAAAAGGAAAATGGAGTACCACTGGTGACCACCCCCAGCCGGTGGCGCTGTTTATAAAAAAAATATTGTAACGTGCTTTCTCTTGACTCGGGATTCTTTTTTTTTTTAATTCACATGTGAAATAACTACTGTTTTTAAAATAACTCCCGTAAGTCCATCCAGATGATTCGCCCTGTCCTTTTTCCCGTGTTCTGCCTAACAACAAGCTTCCGAAATGAGCAATTCATCCTTAGAGCTTTAAGCAATGTCAAGAGTTTCCGAATTTGTGCAATTTATCATGCGTTCAATCACTTCAAGTGTTCGCTTAAATGATCACAACACGAAAAAATTTTGCTGTTAGCTAAGGTCAGACGCATTTTTTATGATTATTTTTTTAATGAACAAAAATTTGCACTAAACTTCTCTGTTTGCTTTGGTTGTTAACTCATGTCGTGATTACCTGTCACGCATGGTTGCGCGTGTGTACGAAACACTACCCGCAGAATACTCTCTGCTTAAGCAGCTTAACTTTTTGTTTTGACTGTGAAAAATCTCGCCGTCTTTCGGTTTCGAACGCTAGCTTGGTCTTCAGGTGATAAGAGACTGAGCTCTACAAGTGGCCGTACAAATCTGCAACATACAGTACAAGGAAAGTCAAAAATAATCCAAAGAATTCAGTTGATCTAAATTTGGACAAAAGCGAGTTTTATGATCCCAAGTTATTTGTAGTTGCAATTTCAAATTAGCACGTTAAGCTAACGCAGTGATGATGGCTCTTGCTCAAGTTGAGCGCAGGGTGGTAAATTGGTACGATAATGCGAACATATTTTTAATTAAAAAAAAAAAAAAAAACATTTTGATGGGTTTCGGCCTCAAACTTAACGCCAAACCCTCGAGCATCTCAATTATTAGCATGTGGAGCTAGCACATTTGGAAGGTGGCTCAATAGGTCCTAAAATATTACCACGTCACAATTTTCCATTTTAGCAAAGCAATTTTCACGATGCTTCAGTAGTGTTTGTTTTTTTAGTAAAATGCCAACACAAAGATCAGAACGTAAATACTTAATAATCATCCAAAATAAGACTCACGACAGGGGAAGGTCATAAATCATCATCAGGTTGCGCTTTTTTTGTTGTCTTTTTCAGCATAAGTTTCCTGGATTCTTTCGTCACCCTTATCTTGGATTTGAGTGCTAACACAAGGAAGTGAACTTAACTTATTTTTTAGAACAAGACTTACTTTCCCTCGCTTCACGAGGAGGTCATAAAAAATTACCCAGTCAAGGTTTTCGATATTAGCCAACCCGTTTCCTGGAAGCTTGAGTCATGTTCATTTTGGAGTTAAATCGAAAGAACGGGAATTATGGTAAGTCAAAACAAGTCTTGTTATAGCTCACCGCGTCAGGTCATAAAATAGCAGCACATTCTCAAAGGTCTTGATGCTGACATGAAATTCTGATCCAGCATTCAACAAGACCAGACAAGGTGCCATTTTAATGAAAGAAATAAAAGGTGTTTTCCTCCGTTTGAATAGCTCTTAATCCCGACTTGTTGGTGTATGAAGCAAAACATCAAACCTTTCACTAAACGACGCACATGCTACTCAGACAACAAACACAGAGTTCCCTCTGCACGGGTGTGTCGCTGGAAGCCAGCGCACTCAGCCAAGCCAAAAAACAAAGGCTGGAGGCATGCGAACCATGCAGTGAAACGTAAACTCTGTTAAGTAAAAATAGACACATGGAAGCAAAAGAAGGCCTGGAAAAAAAAAACATAATAACCAAAGAACAACAACAGTTTTGCAAGAACAAAAAAAATCATGTTTGGAATGAAGATGAGCAACTTAAGAGGAAGCTAATCTGACCGAGACATCGAAAAAAAAATTCTCACTCTTTTGATGAATGTCTGCTTGTTCATATCTTGCCTTTTGTTTATCCCAATTCATAGTATCCGTAGCATGCTGATCTCACGTAATTTGAAACATAACATTTGACTACAGTCACCTTGAGGGGGGGGCGGGCATGGGGGGGGATGTTTGGGTGAGTGCTAACACAGATTGTTAGCAATCTTAGCTCAACTTTGTGTAGCTTTGCACCAGTTTCATGAATCAGTGAGATAAGGCCAACTACTTTTCATGTTGGTAGGAAAATAAATACATCGTGTGCGAGCCAGTGGCTAACTCTGAAGCATGTCAGTTTTATTCGCATGCTTAACTCGTCCATCGTGTAAGACGGCTACTGCTCAAGATTAGCTCAAGTGTTGTACGGCTCTACGATCATGCTAACATGTTAAGTTGTTCCAAAAATAAAAAGACTGGTGGTTTTGCCAGTGTTCTAGCTAATGGCTAACGCGTGAGCTAACACATCACATAGGGTAACGGTTTCAGTTGAAGAGCGCGCCATATGTCGGCAAGGTGACTGTTACATTCTCTCGATGTTTGTAGTAGAAAATACTTGGCTTTGCTTCGTGTCAAGATATTGACGAATCCTCGAACATCTCAGATTTTTAGCATGCTTAGCTAACACCTCATGTAAAGTCAGCGCAACCTTGCATGGCGATGATGTACTAAAGATACTTTGATAGACTTGACGTTCAAACTAAAGGCTAACCCTCAAACAGGTCAGATTATCAACAGGTTTAGCTAACACGTGTAGTCAAACGGTTCAAAAGTTTCGTGCAGCTCATCGTTTTCATCTGAGGTTACTGAAGTCATCAAGCATGACAGTCAAGAATGTTTTGGATGAACAGAGTAGCCAATGACCTGCGGTCTAAGCACAAGAAAACAAAACCCATCTCGGTATGGTTTGAACAATGTCTCCAGGCATCCAGTCAGTTAATAATTGGAGAAGGCGCTCGACTTATCCCGCTTTGAATCCTGGCGTCCGATGATAACAAAACAGTAAGAGTCGCTTATCAGCTCCGGATTCGACTTTATTGGACGAGAAGGGGAGTTTCCATTCGGTGGGTCCATCTAACAGTTGATCCTCAGGTGACCTCAAGTTCATTCAGATCAAAGGATTCTGGTTTATAAGGCAGGAAACGCACTGCTATTGTTCTCCATTCAAAACACTGACAAAGTTATCAAGACTCTGGCCTTGTTTGATTTATTTATTTGTTTTTATTACCCTTTCAGCGTGTTCGCAGCTAACTTGAAATGAAAAAAAAAATGGCGTTTTCATGGGTTCCCAAATGGCCCGAAACGGGCACAATAGAGCCAAAGGGTACACACTTTGATGTCAACAGCGTATTATCGATGACCGTTTTTCAAGACCTAAAGTTGCAACCTCGTGCAATCAACATCTTTGGAAAGCATCATTGAGCTAAAATGGTAGAAAATAAGGAAACAAAGTCGACACCGAGAGCCAGCATACAGTCCGGCGGGTTAAATTCCTCGCCATTGCGACACAAAATGGCCACATCTGCACATCCGTTGCCCTCAATGGCTCAGAGGAATGCGAAGAAAACGGTGGTCATTCGCCTGGCGCCGGCATTTTATGACCTTCCGATGGAGCGAGTGATAACGAAGCTTGTTCTGGATGATTAGTAAGACAAAAAAAGGGTTTGCAAAAAAAAAAAAAAAGGACAAGGAGAGCGGCAGGAATAGCGAAGAGCTGGGTGAAATTTGTGAAATGCAACCCCATCAAATAAATTGCACGCACGACTTATACTTGTGAAGAATGAGGGACACCGCCTTTCACAGCCAATTTTCCGTGCTTCTCTTCTGCATCAACGGCACAGGCATGGAATGGGGGTTGAAGTCTGCGGGTTGCAGAGTTAGCTTTACCATCGCAACCGATCCGGCATTCCGCCGTAGCAGAGGCGTCACGGATGCAGACATGGAGGACTAAGTTGACAGGGCAGTTTTGAGTCCACCGAGGTCTTGCCACTTGTTCTTATTCCGATTGTCTGCGACTCGTCCTTCTAGGCGCAGTTGGAGATGGACAAATACCTCCCCCAGATCACCAGCTCGCTTTTGAGCCCTGCCATCGACCTGAGTGACAAGAAGTACCGGCGGGACAGCGCCTCGGTGGTGGATGAGTACTTCTCCGAGGACAAGCCCGGCGCCCCCTACAGCCTCAACATCAACGTTATCCTCCCCAGCTCCTCCCATTTGCGCACGGGCCTCTATCGCCACAACACGAAGACCCTGCCCCCGACGCAGATCAAGACGGAGCCCGGACTGGAGGTGCCCTGCTCCTCCGCCGGCACCCAGGCCCTGCCAGACTTCACCTCGGTGTTCAACGTGCCCCCCGTGGTCAACGGTGTTTTCATCAAGCCGGACCTGAGCTCCAGTGGCGTCTCCCTTTCCAACGGGTCCCAGCAGCAGCAGAGTTTGGACACGGAGCTTCACATAGGACCGCCGGCCCCCCAGCCGCAGGTCTACCACATGCCAGGCAACAGCACAGCGGACCTCAACATGACTCTGCCCCACTCCGGACCCTCGGCGTCCGGTTCTCGGACCATGCTGAACCTCGGCAATGCCAGCGGCGTTGGCGGCTACATGTTGGCCGAGCACCAGCTGGGGGCGCACCACGGTTACTACCCGGCATCCGGCGCCCAGCATGCGGGCCCTCACAGCCTGCCGCCCTCACCGCCAAACTCGCAACCCGGCAGTCCCGAGGCTCAGGCTGATCTGCTGAGTTTGGCGAGCCAGCCGCCACCTCCGTACCAACAGCATGTGGTGGGTGGGATAAAAGTGACGGGGTTGTCCCCTCACGCCATGCTGATGACGCACGGCCAGGGTGTCCTGACGGGGCCGAAATACAATCGACGGAACAACCCGGAGCTGGAGAAGAGGAGGATTCATTTCTGCGACTATCCAGGTCTTGCACCTCTCTCAGCTACCCTTTGACACCTTTTTATAGCGCTCAGTTTTGCCCAAATGCATTGCAATCCAAAATAATTTGGGGGGCTTCAAACAAAACACACACAAAAAAGGTTGTTTTTTTCCCCAATGTATCTATAATGGCCATCCATTATATGCAGATTTTCACTCTTCCTTTCCAGGTTCCCTGGACCCTGAATTCGCATCTATCTACCATGAGAGCTAGTTAACCACCTAATTAGCATTTATGTGTCAATCTATTGACGTTAGTATGTCAATTAACTCGCTATCTACCTTGCTCGCCTATCTGTCAAGCTACTGAGCGAGCTACTTTTCTTGGATCTATCTAGTGAAGTGTACCCGATTAAACCGCCTGCGGAGCTGTCTCGCTAGCATCGTGAGACTGTTGTAAAGTCATGGTGCTCAATGATGGATTTTAATCCCACAGTTAATTTGACCATTGAAATGTTTAGCGTTAGCATTTTTCTCAGGGCATTATCTCACCTATTCAACGCCACTAACAACCTATTTCCTCCTTGGCAGAGGTCTCAAGCACACCGTGTACTTTTCGTCTTTTGAAACGCGGTTAAACACTCTTATATGCAAATGTATCCACAAAGGTGCCAATTACTTTTGTTGTTGTTTTAAGAAGATGCTCAACTTGTTTTCCTTTTTTCTTTTTTGTGCCATCAGCTTGACTCACGCTGTGATTTATTTTTTTATTTTTTTCCAGGCTGTACAAAAGTTTACACAAAGAGCTCGCATCTGAAGGCGCACCAGAGGACGCACACGGGTAAGAAAAAAAAAAAAGCACCAGATAAGGGCATCAGGAAGTGTGTGTTAATATCCTGGAGTAATAGCAAAAGAATTCACGTCTTTTTTACCGGCTGTGCCGCGTGTCCGTACCTGCCTGGCGAAAGAGAAAAAAGCACTAAGGGGGGCGGGCACGGGAGGAAAGGGAAACGAGGTATAGCCGAGGCTAAAACCAGTTACTCCTGCTCTTTAGGCCTTTTCAGAAGAAGATTAAGGGGCATGGGGGTTGTAGTCGTCTGCACGGGGAAAGCCGGTTTCGATAGGGTTCTCATTGCCCTCCCTCTTCTCTCTTTTTTTTTGTTTGTTTGTTTTTGCACGATGGCAAAAATGTGGCGTTGAAAGAGTGTAAATGTCATAAATAGATAACACAGACGGGTCCTGTGGGAAAGTTCCCACTGTAAACGGCAGCAGTGAGAAAGTTAAACACAAAACAGAAAACGTAGCTGGAGGTAGCGATGCTAGCTATTTGAAGAGACACAAAGTAGTTTCAGTATTTAGCCGCCTTATTCGCATTTAGATTTGTATGATATATTTATTTATCTGTCTACATATTAATGTAGGTTCATCTGTTAACCTATCAAGACGACCAGCCACTTAATAAGCATTTATCGGCGGTATCTATCTGTGTAGCTAGCCATCTAGTCTCAAATGTTTGGTCTCTGTAACTCGATCCATCTCTATCACGAAAGTTACATGGCCCCCATATAAGCTTTTATTTGTTTACATCACTATTGTGGTAGTTATGAAGGTAGGTAGCTCGTATCTATCTAGCTAATTGACGACACAAACGTTATCTATGAGGATGAACCATTTAGTCCAGAGGCCTCATTCTGGTCAAGAGCCTCTCATCGGCAGGTTTCACTTGCAAAACGGCACTTGTCCCGTCTTGTTTTTTTCCGTTCGGTTGATGGCGATGACTCATGAGCGGAGTATGTGGAACGGCGAGGTCCTTTCTAATGGCTAAATGAAAGAAGAAGCTTGGACGCTGTCGCTCATGTTTGTGCAGCAATATCTGAAGCGATAAATAAATAAATGCCTCGCAGTTTAGAGACACAGCATGTAGTTAGCGAGGCTGCCATTCAGTCCAGGGCTTCTGGGTTCGAATCTCGGGCTGCGTTTTACCATCAAAAAGCAACAGGTGCACTTTTGTCTGCCCCAAGCTGAACAATGTACTTGTTTGTATTGTTGGTTCAATAAAACGATGCAGTCGTTTGACATTTGCTTCGGGTATAGTTGTTTGAGATGAGCCAGCTAAGCTACTGAGGCTTGCTCTTGCCGTATCACTTTTGAACCATCGCTAATTGCCCACTTTTTGCTAACATATGCTATTTTAGCTTCGCATGTTGTTGTTTTTCGTCGACATCAACAAGTTGATCCGAAAGCTTGACGGACTTTGTGACAATTAAGCGAATCGTTCACAATTGGGGTAGGGGGGTACAACCTTGACCGTGGACTTGTGTGTTTGGACCCCCACCCTCACCCACACTCCAAACCCCCCCCAACCCTCTTTCCAAACACAGGTGAGCTGATAAAGACTTTATGGACGTCCTGGAGAGGCCTGTTAAGTGTTTGCTCTTTGCCTCAGTAAAAGCGTGCGGAGGTAGTAGTAAAGTGTCACAATTGTGATACAAGATTTGCTTATAGAGGAATGAAAGAGCCAGAATGGAGGAATGTTTTTTTCCCCCTCTTATTTAATTTTTTGGTAGATTTGTTTTTTTTTTTTAAGTGTGTAATTCTGGACAAATCATCCCAAATTTTGCTACATTATATTCTTCCTTTCTCCCGGCGGGATAGCAGACCAGTTATGGTGGTTGAGAATGAAATAAAATTAATACAGTTACCTTTTAAAAAAAAAAAGTAACACTATTTTCTTTTTTTGTGGGGCGGGGGAGACAATATTCTATCCGTTTTTAGTTAAAATCCTGTTCCATTTGGGCGAGAACACCACACTGGTTGTACCAATTTTTGATTTTGACCATATTTCTCATCCCCAATAATGATTCAGCATGGGTCCCTGTTGCCGAAACGCTAAAGCCCCATCACATTTTAGCGTTGTAGCTTTTGAGCAAAGCAGATGACATCGGTGTCGGTGCAAATTTCGAATCCCCCAATTGGAAAAGAAACGTCAATGCTCCTTTAAAAAGTGCACAAAAAGCCTTTTGTGTGCGGCAGAGAGAGTGATGGATGCTCTTTTGTGGCGTTTTGTGTTGTGGTGTTTGCTGTGTTTTAGAAGACGCTTCCATGCGCAGACATGCTACATTAGTGCATGTGCGCTTGAGTGTTTCAGGTTTCTAATTTGCCAGCTGTACAAACAGTTGAGCTTTGAATGCTTTTTAAGGACATTTGGAAGTGCTACTTATACTTGTACACGGTGAAGTTGTATGAGAAAAATGTTTTTGTCAACGTACATTGTTATTACTTCAAAACTATTTATAAACTATAACCCCACAATGAACACATATCTCAAGTCAATGGGGGGAAAAAAAGTCAATTTTCTGGTCATTGATACTTTTTTGTACAAATATGGCATATTCAAAAAAATAATAATATCAAAGCTGAAAGAAAATGAAGCATTTCTTAAAACTCACCAAAAAGTCCAAATAAACACTAACTATAAAGAAAACTATATTATAATACTGCACGGGACTTCGAATAATATCAATTAAACATGCCCCACCCCCAAGTTTTTTACTAATTTAGAGAACGTATATTTTATGGACCAAGTCCTGCTGATTTCTGTCTCTCGATGTATAAATCATAGCTTGATTACCTCCCCAAAGGCAGCTGACCTTTTTGTTGTCCGATTTAGAAAAATACGCCAGCCGAGAGTGTTTGTTCAGCACGAGTCGGATTTCAGCCGCCAATTTGCGCACCCTGGAGGATAATAATCCGTGTCAGGCGACCGTGCTTTTGACCAAACACACCTGTGGGGCCCCTCTGACAATACACACCACCTCATATTTGATTGTTTTGTTATTGTTCCCAAAGGGAACGATGTTTTTGAAACTATGGTAAATTGACGTTAGTGTCAGTTTATTACGGTCACCTGCTGCCTGCTCTTTGGACTTCCCCAGTCGCCGCCAATAACTGCCCATGTCGTGATTGGTTGATTGATTGGTCAATAGCCGCGCGCTAATCTGATCGCCGCCGGCAATGAGCACTTCATGACTCAAAGGTGATAAAATGGCTCACTGGAGGAGGACCTTGTAGTCAGAGGATTCTCAGCCCAGGAACCCCACTTTGACTTCAGAAAATCACAGTAGATCCCGTTGTGGATAGTTAGCATGTTTGCTACCTCATTTTGCCATAACTATTTGCATCAACTTTTGACATTTTGTGAAGTCACTGAGGTTGCCGGTTGTTATTTGGATATGCTGATTATATTTTTCTGAATTTCACATGTCTGCTTGCTACTTCACTCGCTCTTGAATTAAATTGATGGCATTTAGAGAAGCCACCATGTTTGCTAGCTCATTGATCCACAAGCTCTTGAATAAAATGATCACAATTTAGGATGGTATTGAATTTGCTAGCCCATTTACGAGCTGGAAATCAAATAAACTGAGAACATTTTGATCAGTTAGCTCGTAGGTTAGGTGCTAATCGTGCCAACGGACCAGATTTGTGGAAATTAGCACATTTTGGGACGATTGCGTGTTTGCTAACCGTAAGACGAAACTAGTTTTTGACAATGCAGGAAAGTTGGTTTTTGCAAGCTATTAATCGGATGAATAAATCACATTTGTGGAAGTTCATGTGGGCCATCTGTTTATCTGATCAATCGATCGCGTCACACTTTGGTATTTTATTTCAGTCAATTTATCATATTTTATAAGGTAACAATGTTTCTCCGAGTTTATGAAGTGTTCATATTTTAAGAAGTTAGCAGTTGTTTTCGCTCACCTGCTAACTGTTTATTGAGTTAACTGTTGACATTCTGTGAGGTTAGCATGTGTGTTAGCTCATTTTCAGCTACTATTTGGATAAAGTGTCACATTTCAAAAAAGTCAGCCTGTTTGCTCATTGCCCCAAAACAAGATTGTCACACCAACTGAATTAATATCTAATTTTCTGATCTTCTTTGGAGTTTTTATGTTTTCTCTCTTCCTGCTTTTTAATCTTTTGTGTTTCTTGTGGCATGTTTGCATAGGAGACCATTCAACATCCTTTTTTTTTTTTTTTTTTTTTTTACTCAGTCTTTGTTGATGATTAGCTGGCACTTTGGCAGCCGCACATTTAAAATGTCAAACATTTGGGTGTGGTTCATTTAACGTCTGCTTAGATTGAGCCCAGCTCATTATTTTTCACCTTTTGTTCTTTTTCTTTTTTAAAATTTTTGTTTAATCAGAAAAGAAACTGATTAATATCCTGGTCTTCAACTTTTCTTGGCAAGCCTGAAAACTAGAAGTTTTCTGTTTCATTCACTAAATGTAGTGATTGTATTTTTTGTGAGTTAGCATGTTTTGTCGCAGTTATTTGGATAACGTATTCACATTTTGTGGACTTCGTATGTTTGATAGCTTTTAACAGACAGAAGTAGTGGTTTGCTGCCATCTTGTGGCATCTCGGTGCCAAGGAACTAGTAAATTGCGGAGATTAATTCAGACAAAAGTAGCGCTTTCTTGTGGCTTATGGCGCCAATGAACTATATTTAAGTGAGTTGAAGAGTAGTGGTAGTGCTTTGCCACTCTCTCGTGGTATCTCGGGCAAAAACTTTTTCCATCGAACACGCATGCAATCTATTTCAGTTGTTTTTGCTGCTGCTACTGCTGTGGTTGTTTTTCTTAAATTAACTGAGCTGCCGTGTTGTGGTTGTCAGGCGAGAAACCGTACCGCTGCACGTGGGACAACTGCGACTGGCGCTTCGCCCGCTCCGACGAGCTGACCCGACACTACCGCAAACACACGGGCGCCAAACCCTTCAAGTGCGTGGCCTGCAGCCGCTGCTTCTCGCGCTCGGACCACCTGGCCCTGCACATGAAGCGCCACCAGAACTGAGAAAGCGCCGGGGATCCTCCGCAGGAAGTGCGGACAAGTCGGAACATTTTCACTGTGTTTTTCTTCTCTGGGTTCTCCAAACCACAAAACACTTTCCCGCAAGATGTGGTCAAAATGTTTCTCACTTTGCAAATTACGGAAGGGAAAAAAAAAAAAGTTAAATACATGGCTAGTGGAGCGCAAAAATCTCCGGTTCTCACCCCAAAAAAATTCATGGTCTTTGTCCCTTTACTCATGTATCACCTTTTCCACAAATTTTTGTCCGAATTGTTCAGGTCTGGTATTGACAAACTACGCCCCCCTGCCCCCTCCAAAAAAAAAGTCAATTTATGAGTGAAGAATGAAATGTAAAAAATTCTGCTAAAGCTCCAAAAATTGCACATGCTGGAACATTCCTCAAACTTTTCTCAAAATCTGTTATGTTACAAAACGCACGTTATGTTTTTAACTTAAATGAGAGAAAAAAAAAGAAATCTTCCTTGGTGGAGCGAATCAAGCAATTTGCTTTTTGTATTCCTCTATATTGTAAAGTGGCTATCAACTATTTTTTGTGGATTTTTTTTTTTTTTTTAACATTCCGTCTTCTCTAATTCTTCCTCTCGTGAGAAATTTCTGTACTTTCCGTGGGACAGGTGGACGCCCCGCCCCCGCTTTCATGTAAATAATGTTTATATATCTATTGTGCATATGTGTCTGCAAGGAAAGGACAAAAAAACAATGAATGTATCTAGATTTATACTTGATGTTTTTTTTCTCTCCACGTTTTGTTAATACAAGTAGAAACTTCCCTTAAGTGCGTCATTATAGTAACATAAAATGGGACTTAGTCATGGACTGGTTCTGCCTGTTCTGGCGCTCACAGGGCTCAAGTCGTTAGCTGATGTTTGTGTCGGTTGCTTCCATGGCAACCAAGTAGTGTAGTCAACGATTGTACGATGTCATTTTAAAAGATAATTTTTAAAATTTTGTTTTCGGGCCCGCCATTCATCGATGCGGTGAAATTGTCTTTTATTTCAATGCTAAAATGACTTTTTTTTTTCCTCATGGCTTTGCAAGGATTCAAGTTCTCCAAGCTGGCGTGTATATAAACATCAACAAAAAGTGTCATATGAATTCTTTTCAATGCTCTTGTAAATATTTCCTTGCTTTTTACGACGTCTCGTCAGGATTTTAATGTCGAATTGGATTTTTTTGTCAAAAGCCTCAGTGGAGTTTTCAGTTTTTTTGTTTTTTTTTTTTGTCAAAAAATTTTGCAATAAGATAATTAAAAAATTGATAATGTGTGACTTTCTTGTGTTTTGTTAAGTTGGGTCAATGATTAATGTTGGAAATAACGGTTAGCTTAAATCCATTAAATTAAGCTTGTTTATGAATGTTATTCACATGGCATTACTATCCAACAAAGCACATGTATCTCCACATTTTTAACTGTTGCTACTTTCATCTGAAAATTGTATGTTTTTGTTTCTCCAAAAGCCCAAGTTATTAATTATAACGTAAAGTCTTTTAAGAAGTCAGTAGCTGGTAGATATACAATATTTAGCATAATATCACCTCAGAAGTTTTTTGTTTTCATGTGAAAAACAAAATCTAAAATATATATATTTTTTAATTATAAGGGGCATTAAATTTTACCGAACACAAAGTTGGTGTTAGTGTTTTTTGGATTAAAAAAAAACACATTTTGGAAAAATGGTTTGCGTCGCATCATATCTCCAAATTTTATTATCATGTTGTAAAACTACAAAGATAATTTACAATTCAGCTGGAACCTCGAGTTACAAATGCTCCTTTTGGTGTACTTGTGTGTATTTGAGTTATGTGCAGCATTTTTAAAGAAAAACGACCTATTTACGTACCACAGTATTTTCGTAAAGACGGAAGCTGTTGCATATGTAGATGAAGTAACACTTCCGCCTTCATCATCATCCAATCACAAATCGCCGTGGCGTTTGTGATTTCCGAAGATCATACCATTTTTATTAAAAAAACAACGCTTTGCTGTATGTATGTTAAAGATGTTAATTTGATTGCCTGATCTTTGTACAACAAGGAAAAAAAAGCTTTGGTCGTAATGGTGGTATTTTCCCCCCCTATACTGGCTCTTTAAAGGAGAGCTCAGTGACGTGCCTCTGTGCGTAAGGCCGTGGGGTGAAAAGGCGGGTTTTCAAACTGAATACGGAAGTAATTTGGCCGGCTAATGAGCTTTAACTCAAACTGGCCAGCAATGCGATCAATAAAGCCCATCTCGGCAGCGTATGAAACCTTAGCATGTCTCTCGCTCACGCCGTTACGCATGTGAACAAAAATGAGCTCCGTTTGCGCCAAAGAATTCGTTTCCTCAGCTTTAGAATGGCGCTGATGCCCGCTGGATTTTATTTGGACCCACTTGGATTGGATTCTACCCTTGGCCACAATGCGAAGAGGGATCCTGGTTAAAGTAAGCCATTTTCAATTTTAAACTTTATGGGCGTTTTAGGAGTGGACAGGCTGACGGGCCTAAGATAGCAATGACGGAAGCGCGGTTAAAATCACACTGACGGATGATGACAGTTTGGTTGGGCTTGAAATAATGACGTCTAGATGGCCCGGTCGCTGGAGAATGACGAATTACCGGCAACATTTACTGACGAGCCCACCACTTCTTCACGTTTGGATAGAAAAGTGTTTAAAAGATATATATTTTTTTTTGTGCAAAATGTCAAGATGTATGTTTGTTGGAAAGTGGCAATAGGTACAATTTTGTTGAATGTTGACTTCTTTGGAGCTGGTGAAAGTTCAGGCTGAACTGAAGAAACAACAGAACTGGTTATGACAATCGCAATTGTGGCATAAATAATCATAAGCAAGTAAGCAAAAAGAAATGCAGACGGGGTGGAGTCGCTATTGTAATTGGACTGTTTGCACTGTCGTGTTTTGAGTGGGATTTGCCTCATCGTGGTCACACGGGGACAACGCCCTCAATTATTTTTTTTTGGTTGCCTTTCTTTTTTTGTCATAATGTGCTGAGCTTGTTTGTGCAAGGGAGGTGCCCTTTTTGTATTGCAATCATGCATCATTCAGACACTTACACCGAAGGAAAAATCGAAAGCATTTTTTAAAAACATCTTTTTTAAAGGAAAATGGGGGGGGTTGGATGTTTTGTTGTATTCAATTTTCATAATTATTTTATGCAGTATGTGTGTATGTCTAATCTTGGTTCCCGTTGATTCATTTGATTTTTTTTGCTGAGCACTCACAGTCAAATGCTTGTTTGGACTTGTTGCCTTAATTCTGCCTGCAGTGTATTCTTTAAAGTCATCCGGCTCTCTTTTCCACATTACAGTACTTTATATTGAGCTGGGACATAGCTTGGTGTAGATGTTCCCATAGCTGACTTTGATTCTCATTACAGTCGTGAGGAACACACGTCCATACTATAGTTAAAACAAATGAAGTAATAGAACACCTTGAACAGTAAAGAACAGAATGCCATTAAGCAGGCCACTTGGTAGTGTAGTACTTCACATTGCAAGATATCAAAGATTTGGAAAAAATGCTCTAGTGGCTTTTTATACCCACCCGTATGTTAAGCAGGAGATCCACAACAAGATTGTGGGTGCAGTCTATTTCCTGGATGGCTTCATCAGCCCCAAACAGTAAGTTGCGCTTTTCCACATATCATGTAATGCGTACGGAGGACAAAAGGAAGATATCAGTGCAAGTGCATTCCGGGTGAGAGGCTGAAAAACCAAAGCCATCAAGCTGTCATTCAGCGGCAGCGTTTGTCGGGACATGCCCTGCCCCACCCGTCAGTCATACGGCACAGTGATGCGCTGCATTAAAAGCGGCTTAGTCGTGATTATGGCACTCAAATAAAAATATAGACTCTAGAATACAAGTTACTTCAGAATAATAACTCCAGTACAAGTAAAAAAAAAAAAAGTTCTTCAAATAATTGCTTGAGTAAATATCCAGTGGAGTCTTGGCAAATAAGACCTGATGTATAATTTTTTTTTTTTCAATCATGGTTAGTTTGACCCATTACCGTGATGTTAATATTAGAAAGTGCCACAGACGGGCTAACCAATAGCATCAAGCAACACATGTAGACAGCTCATGTAACACTCACAGGCATATTTTCTTGATCCTCTGAGAAGAATAACTCTTGCTTGCATCTTACTTCTGGAAAGTGCTTTGTTCCAGCTGTAGCTGTTGTGAAAGCACTGTCAATAAGGATGGATTGGATTGTTTTGATCAATTGACTTCAGGGAACATCTCATTCGCTTTGTCCATAGCGACCCCCAGTGGCATTCACGCCTCACTACAACTGTTCCTTTCACTTTTCCTGCATCATTGATAAACACACACACACACACACACACACACACACACCCCCACACACACACACACACACACGAAGGGAGCGATAAGAAACATCAACTAAATTGCACCGAAAACATGTTTATTCTAAAAAAAAAAAAAAAAAGAAGGGAGGATGAGGAGTAATCATCACAAAAAGTATACAGAAAAGGAAAACAAAGGACTTTTAAACACCAGAATCACAGTATCAAAAAGCTCACTTTTTTTTTTTTTGGCCTTCCTCGTCCATCTTTACACCTTTTTGTTCTGTACACAAATACAAAAGAAAATAATCTTATGATATTATTATTATAGCCACGTATTATTATTATTATTATAACCATCACAACTGCATTGCACTGAGTAAATAAAGAGTACTGGCCCACAAAAAGTTACTGCATTCAACAGGGAGGGGGAAAAAAATGAAAGATAAAAGTGGCGATTGGTGGCGAGTAGGAGGCACTCATATGCAGCCAGCACCTGAAAGTCGGCGTTAAACTTTTACTATTTAAAATATTTTTGTCAAACATACGGAATAAGTTACACAAGCTAAACAACTTTGCAATATATATATATATATATATATATATATAGATATATATATATATATATATAATTAGCATGAGCTAAAAGAAAACACGAACGTTGTGATCCAATGAGATTTGGACACTATTATTACAGAAACAACATACGATTATTCAAAATAGTTTCACCGAAGCTATGTTAGCATCTATGGCTAAAGGCGGTTAGCTCCTGTTTTGGAGCAATGTGATTTTAAAAATCATGAAAATGCATGAAATATGACAAACATCTGATGTAAAATCAGTACACCAATCATTAGCGTTTTGTCGCGAGAATTCTAAATAATAGAAATTATGCTGCTAGCGGGTAGCATGCACGTAGCCAATACTTAAAGTTTATTTTTGTTTTGTGAAAAATGTGATATGTTGCGCTGTTGATGTACCATGTTAGCTGTTAGCCTAACACATCGGTTGAACACAACACAATGAATCATTTTGTCACTTATGGCTGAATGCTACCATTTTAGCGCTTAGCACCCATGTTCATGAGTCTAAACAGTTGTAATGTGTTTTTGTTTCATGTAAAACAAAATGTGAAATATGTCATAAAATCGATGCAATGTTGGTCCATGAAATTGTCAAAATTCTAAAAGCTAGTGTTGCTTCATTGAAACACATGTAGCGTTACGTGAACGCAACACAATGAATCATTTTGCGAAAAAAAAATCTTTGTATTACTATCCCTTGTGGCTTTATGCTAGCATGTTAGCATGTAACACCCCCACTAGTTAGGCAGTTGTTCAAAAGTGTTTTTGTTCCATTACATGCATAACCCAAATAGTCATAATGCTGACTATTAGCGTTACGTCGCTATAACACAAACTGACAAAAAAAATAATAAAGCCAGGCTAATTCACAGATGAATGCGAACATCTTAGCATGTTGCATTGTGGAAATTTGTGTAACTCCGAAAATGACAAAGTCATGTTGGCTAGATGCTAACATGTTAGCATGTAGCACCCATGTAGTCAATTGTTAAAATGTTTTGTTTTTCTTGTTTTAGAAAAATGGGAAAATCAAAACAAAAATAGACAAATTTGGTACACAAAATTGTCAAAGTAATAACCACTAGCTTGTTGTCGCTATAACAAACATTGGTACCTACACGCAACTTTTTTTTTCTTAAAGGTTTTGTGCGGAATGGATCATAACAAACTCTTATTTCTGTAATTGACTCATTTTTCCCCCCCTACAAAAAGTCATGTTTCACACACACGCACACACACACATACACACTAGCTCGCACAGTGACATGCTCACCAAGGTCACTATCGGAAAACAAGAGGCCGACTCTCCATGCAACGCAAGTATGCACAACACAAATGGGACCAATAGTATTCTTATTATTATTTTTATCATTTGTAAGAAACTACAAGCAAAAAAGGTGTCAAAAGAAGAAAACCAACAAAGTAGAAGAAGAGGGAGGGAGGCGGTTCACATTATCTAGTCAGTGTTAAAAATAGAACTTCACCCGTTACGTTTACTTTTTGATTATATACATTTATGTACATGGATTTCTATTTTTTTAAACTCTTATTTTTTTGTTGTTGTCATTATCCGTAATGTTTACAAAAGAATGCATAAACTCTTCTAGAAAGATGTGCTTTTTCAATGTTTCTGTGGTAGTCAGATCAAGCAAAAACAAAAAACAAAAAAAAAAGTCGAGAAATGTGCCAACAAAAATCCCTCCGAACGAGAATTGGTTCTGATGTTTTTGTTTTGTTTTGTTTTCGTCAAAGTCGATAAGAACGGTACTAGAAATGCATGTAACGTTTTGCTCACGTGTTTTGGAACTGACGTCAAAGTACCTTCAGGGGAAAAAAATGGAATATTTTGTCATGTTAAAACAGAAGTCTGGAGTGTCTGAGGTGTTTTTTTGCTGAAGCTGCGTTTAACAAAAGTAGGAAATTTCACAATTTTTTTGATCGGATATTGGAAATTTCCCAGTTTTTATGAATGCAGCACAAGCTGTTTTTACCTTCCGAAAAAATGTCGCCACCTCCAAGAACATCTCGGAGGATGTTTTATTCGGTCAGTGAAGGCTTGTGCTGTGTTTGAGAAAACCCAGACAGGAGAATTATTTATTTATTTTTTAATGAGGGAAAAGTGCAAAAATTTCTTCAAAGGAAGAATGAGAAACATCCCAGCCCACTTGATTGTACGTTACTCAAAATCTCGCAATAGAAAGAATCTTTGACGATGTTTTATTCGATAATCGGTTTTTACTTCGGTTCTTAAGGTTCAACGGGCAGGAGGTCCAAATGCCCGAAAAAGACGCTCGTTAAATAGGGAAAAAAAACCCACAAACCAAAATTCCGAAAACGTGTTTGTCGCAAAACATAAACACGCAGGAGGAACACACGGGGGAAAACATGCATGACCGTTTGGCAAAGCGCGGAAAAAGCTCCCGAATTTCCCTGCAAGAGAATTTTCACTTCTCCGCCGACCACTAATTCACAGCGTTTAAAAGACGACCAAAGACAGGAAATCGTCTAAAATGACGAAAAAAAAGACGATTCTGTCACAAGGGAGAGAGAAATAACGCACAAATACTGTTTTTGTTTTTTTATGATAATTAGTGTGCGCGGGAGGATATGCAAAAAGTAGGCGATGTGAAAATTGTTTGAAAAGTTCACAGTTCTCATCGTGTGCCGAATAGATAAAGGGGGTGGGTGGGGGGGTCCTGACGTCTGCTTTCAGATGGCATAATTAAACGCCGCACCGGAGAGGAAAAAAAAAAAAGCTTGGCAGACTCAAATGCGGGAAATAAACTCACAGGGTTGAGAGTTGTGATTGTAATGGAAAATGGAATGACATCCATGAGAAATGCAGTTGTCTGGAAGTCTATTTTTGATCGTAAAAATTCAACGCCACGCCCCATGGATGAAAAACGCGTCACGTCGCTTGTGCTGCAGTGAAACAGCTTGACAAACACATGAACACGGTTAGGAAGTCGGATTGCAAAAGCTGCTAGAAAATTCAGAAATGTAATTCTCCGGACATCTAATTTGACCATCTAAAAGTAAATGCCGCGCCATGAGAATGTCACGAATGTCTTCCAGATGGAGTGCAGTGAAACAGCCTGACAGCAAATTTGCAAACAGGACCGGGAAGTCCCACCGGATCAGTTTCAGGAAAACCGATAAAATGTGCTCGTCTGTGCTTGTCAACTTTTAAGATCGAAAAATTCAACACCACATCTCGAGGATGAAATAATTGTCTCTCTTGTGCTGCATCGAAACAGCTTCACAAATGCATTCGGAGGGTCAGACAGTCCTACAACAATTAAAAACCATACACCTGGTTGTCCGGACGTTGAATTTTACCCCAAAAAATGAAATGCCGCAACCCACGCTGAAAAAAAAAATGGCGGAAAGACAAGTCAGCTCGTCCAGGCGTCTACTTTTAGATCCTAAAAATTAAACGCCGCACCCCAAGAAGGAAACGCCTCTTTCATCACCTGTGCTGCGGCGAGAAATGCATTTTCAAAGACTGTGCATTCCTACCACAAAAGAAAATCCAAGAGAAATGTCCGGAAGTCTTTCAAATGAAACGCCGCACCCCAAGCGAGCAAGGAGCAGCCGAGGAGGAGAAATCCCAATGTAACGCTTGAAGGGGGGAAGAAAAAAAATGTCTGGATACAAGGATGGACGGATGAGTGGGGAGAAAAATCGCCAACCTCCATGAATGCTTGGTATACCTGCAGAAGATGAGCCGTTGAACTGTAGTAGCAGAGTTTGTTTTGCCGGCGGGAGGGAACCTCCTCCCCCGCCCCCAAAAGAAATGACGCCCAAATAGCCAAAAAGAGTTCACATCATGACGTGGCGGCGGCGGTGCAGGGACAGGTGGTCGGAGCGCGAGAAGGAGCGGTCGCACTCGGTGCAGCGGAAGGGCTTGATGCCCGTGTGCTTGCGGAAGTGCCGAGTCAGCTCGTCGGAGCGGGCGAAACGCCAGGTGCAGCCCTCCCAGGTGCAATGGTACGGCTTCTCGCCTGCGCGGGGAGACGGAGGGCACAACGTTAGTGGACGCGCACTCGTACCAGGAAGTACACCACTTGAGTTGCAATTTCTTGAAGGTTTAGAATGAACGTCTCTGTTCATTTGTTTGCCGGCCCCGAAGACGTTTCACGTGATGGGTTAGCATTAGGCTCTGAAATGGTTGAATATTTTGGTGCTAATATTCACAATCCTGAATTCTGTTGTCGAGTCGGGGGTGGCCGTGAATTACGCCGATGCTGCTACGCTCTCACGTCAGCTTCTGGGGCTAGCCGCCTACTGGCGAGCTTGGTGAAGAAAAGGACTTGGATTCAGAACTCGCGTTGACCTGTGTGTATCCGTCGGTGAGCTTTGAGGTGCGAGCTCTTGGTGTAGACTTTTTTGCAGCCTTCGTAGTCGCACATATGGATCCGCCGCCTCTTGACGTCCGGGGAGTCGGGGTCCGCAGGCTCCAAGTCCAACACCGACCTGAGGGCCGACGGAGGGCAACATAAGTGGACTGAAATATTGAATCGTGCACAAATGTCAAAATGAGAACTATGGTGGACAGTGAGTCCTAAAGGCCACCGGGGGGCGCCAAATAGCCACTTAACCCAGTTTGGCCATTATGTTTTAGTTGGTTTGTTTTGTTTGTTTGTTTGTATAAAAGGTCACATATTTATACATAATTTTGTTTTTATCAATTTAAAGATCAAGTTGTCTGTATCATGAAGGTTTTTTTTTTGTTTGCCTTGTGTCATTTTGTCATGATTTATCTTATGTTTCAAATTCGTTTTCTATATTGGCAGTTCTTACTTTGTGTTTTTATTTATTTATTTTTAGTCTTTCACTTTGTTTGGATTCACTTCGGGCAAGTTATTTTTGTCCGGATAGTTTTTTAGAAATATATGGTATTTTTTAAAATTATTTTGTGTTCTCAGGCTTACCTTTAAAAAAATAATTTTACTGAAGTAATTAGTATTTATTATCTTCTGTTATGTCTGTATTCTTAGTCTTTCATTTATCATTCATTGAGTTTTTTTTCCCCCAGGACTATATTTACTCTTCATTTTCATCAGTTAAATACGTAGTTGATTATTTGATCAAGTGTTATACCCTTTTACTACCTGTTGCTTGTTTTGTTCTTCAATGACCCCGATACAGGAAGGTCAGTGTGAGGCAATTTGGAAAACAAGGTGTGGCGCGCGCACGCACGCACACGTCAGATTACGGCTAAACTCCAAGGTCCACGCCCTAACTTTCTGTTAACGTTGCAAAGCCTCGCCCAAATAGGTGTGAAGACGACGCTCTGACTTACTAACACACGAACGAACACACTCAAACAAATCCAAAACTTCGAAATGCATATTTATGTGTAATGCAAACGATAACAAAGGCAGCGTGCGCTCACCCTGCGTCGAGGCTCTGGGCGCTGAGTGACGCCGATCCAGATTCGGTCCCGCTCTCGGCGTCGCTGTCGCTGTGATATTCCACCGGAGAGGTTGAACCGGGCTTAATGCGCACTGAGGAAGTCGAAAAAAAAGTGCAAGATTAGAAATATTAAAATACAGACGGTGCCCTATTTTTCATTTACCTACAAGAGGTTTATGCTACATGTATGCTATCTTGGGGTTATGCTATGTTGAGGCTTCATCTACGTTAGTCGGCTACATTTGCATTATACGATGATGTGCTACATTTCCGTTATGCTACTTTTAAGTCACGTGACGTGGCTTTTGCTACTGAAAATATGTAACATGACACCCGAAATTAACGTTATGTTGCATGAAGTAACGCTACATTTTGGCTACGCTACATGTCCGTTGGACTGCCTATAGATTGAGCTACCTTCATGTTACGCGACACTACATTGTGCCTGTTACTCAACGCATTACGTTTGGCTACATTGACGCTATGCTACCGTTTGCTTCATGCTGCGCTATCGAATTTGCACGGTAGGGTAATTGATCATTCTAATTGGCCTTAGATTTGACGGCGAGTGTCAAAGGTTGTTTGTCTACGTGTGCCCTGCGATTGGCTGGCAACCGGTTCAGGGTGTGCCCCGCCTGCCGCCTTACGGTAGCTAGGCTAGGCTCTAATACGTCTGCGACTCTCGTCAGAATAAGCGGTATTGTGAACACGATTTGGTTGTATGCTATCTTGCGCCGCACTGCTTTTTTTGCGCCCTGTTACCTGACGTTGCACCAGCTCAACGTGAAATCCATGACCTTCACACTATATTACCTCAAGATCCTCCATAACTTGGTCTTACATATGACCTGTGTTATAAATTGAAATATGAAGAGATGAAGTATACTGTCGACTGAAAATGGAAGGATTAATCGTTGAGTGAAAGCGTTACACCCTGCAGGATAAACAACGTCCACCCTTGCACGGAGGCGGTGGAAGGATCAAGGGTGTGGCACGTTAAAAGTGAGCACGCACACACACAGAGCAAAAAGAAGTGTTCTTGCTCCCTGGAGACAATGATTCGCTCACTCCCACTCTGACATCGTGCCATTAAAAAAAAAAAAAAAAAGACAGGCGCTCCCTCCTTGACCCTCACTTCCTGTCTGCCTCACCACCTCCCACGCCGCCGCAAGATCTTCGACGAATATGAATAAATATAATATGTACGGTATCTTATGGTGCACTCCCTCAGTACAAACAGTAAGCGAGCTGGCACGTGTTTGGCGAACATTCAGAGCTACGCTCGATTAAATGAACCGGTAGCTTATGGAAAGCTTTCATTTCTTTCAGGAATCGGTTGTGCTTTGATACTTTGCCTCCTGCCAAAATGACACCTCTTCCATCCATCCATTATCCGAGCCGCCGCTTACCTTCATGAGGGTCGCAGGCGTGCTGGAGCCCATTCCCAGCTGTCTTTGGGCAGTGGGCGGGGCACAACCTACTTGACATAACCTCATATTAGGCCACGCTACTTTTAGGCTATGTGATCGTAGCACTATCTTACCTCGCGTTACGTTACGATGATATCGTTAAGCTGTTATTTTGAGAAGTAATATGAGCATCTGTTCTGTTTTTTGTTTTTTTAGCTACCTTCAAGCGGTTACGTCAATCTTTGTCAAAGTTCTTGAGACGACATACGCATTAATGCGACGACTAGCTCAAATCAAACATAGGGGGAAAAAATGGAGTAATATGAGCATCTGTTCTGTTTTTTGTTTTTTTTAGCTACCTTCAAGCGGTTACTTCAATCTTTGTCAAAGTTCTTGAGACGACATACACATTAATGCGACGACTAGCTCAGATCAAACGTAGGGGGCAAAAATGACCGATATGTGAAGTTATTTAAAGTCTATGAGCTGCTGCTAGACAAACGAGACGCTCTTTTGTCTTTTTCCTGGCAGATGGAGGGACGTTGCGGCGAATGCCGCGCTAACTGTGAACTCAGAAGTCATTTGAAGTGAGGGCGCAACTGAAAGCGCGTCCAACCCAGCCCCGACGTTCCTTACCGGAGCCTTCCGACCGTCCGTCGCTGCCAATGAGCGGCACGGTGATGGCTGCGGTGGCGGCGGCGACGCCGTCCGCGGGCACGGCGGTGTAGA